CCACAATCGGACCTATTAAAAGACGACTGAGAGCTCGCCATGCACCGTACCCTAATCCAGCGACCATCAGACGTTCGCAAAGAATTCAAGCTCAGAATAATATGCCAACTGCCTCAAACCTAACCACAACAAGCGTTACTACTATTTCGACCGACGATCAAAAGCGAAAGAGCTCTATCGAGCATCATCAAAATCAGACGGGTCACGAAATGAACTGGGAAAACTTCAATATTCTTTGCCATGAATCACACAAATACAAATTATTATTAAAAGAATCTTTAATTATCAAAGCATACAATACCGCACTTAATAAAACAACCCATTCAGTTCCACTTATCATATATCCAGAAGGACTCCCACCGAATCAACTGCGCAAACCTTAAAGATCCCAACAGCCAACCTAAACAAAGTAACTATTTCTTTTAACTAGCTAATATTCTCTAACATACGCATTCCATTGATATTACTAGACTATCATCTAAGTGTTGGTCATGGAGATGGTGCTGAAGATGTCAATTAAACTTGACGAAACGTCCAAATTAAATACAAAATCATGTTTTTTCGCTTTCACAATCACATCGTTAACAATTTTCCTTTGAATTCGTGAAAAACAAAACTATTGAACATGTTGTTTGTTGAATGTGTATTTGCTGTTAGAACTACTTGCAGCTGATAACTCTTTTTGGGACAACAAATATTTATACATACCGGTGCATAACTTAGAGGCATTTCGACGAGTCTGCAGTTCAGCCGATATAGAATGGTCTGTCATTCGATTACGAAAATCATTCAGGAAATGTCTGAGTTCAGAAAATACACTTTCAGCATAAGCATTACTGGCGGGAATCGAATACAAAAAAGAGATCAGCTTCTTCATATTCGGTGTTGGCGTGGAATTGACAGCTAATAGCATTGCCCAAAGTTGATCAGGTCGAATAAATTTCTGTACTTCTTCATCATTCGATTGTGTTTGGCAAGTATTTGTTGCGGAGGAATGATGTTCATTAGTTTTCTTTTCTAATTGATTGGAAAGCGGTTTTCAATTCAGTGAATTCGATAAACAAATCGTCTTCCTTTAAACCTTCAATTCTTATCATTTCGATGCACTTTTGAGTTGGTTCCAAGAAATATTTTCGATTCCGTCGCCAAACTTTCCGATTGCTTCTAAAAGAACAATATTTTTTGAAAAAGATTTGTCGATGTATTCTAAAAATGTCATGATAAATTGAACGAATGACGCTTGTAGTTTCGTAGCAACATCGGGTGACATTCGGTTCAGTAGTTGTCGACAATGAATTCCAAATAGAATATGATGTAAGAAAGTCAGAACACATAATGTCTCTTATGATTCAAAAGTCATTCGTAATTCTATACGAATTTTTTTCTCCTCTATCCTTTACTTGATGATGGTAGAAATGCTGTATAAGTAAAGCAGCAAGGGCGAAGTAGTAAGAAAACGACATTAGAAACTGAACTGAACTTTGACTTATCTTTACAGTCGTTTTCGATGTTAATCATTCATACATGTCGCCACTTTTATGGGTTTTAATATTGCTCGATTAATATGTTCCCCACGGGCTAAGCTCATGGGTACGGAACTTTTCTGATGTTGAAAATAGATTCGAATATATTCTTGAATTTTGATCAGATTTCTTGTTTGATTTGCATGCTGATTAAAGTTCTACTCGTAATTTAAACCATATAGGATGTGTGTTGATGACATGATTACGCACCTCTTCTCTCATTTCCGCCAGAACAGGATGAATCCTGTCAAGAAAATGTGCACTGAATCTGTTTGATCCTGCAAGTAAACTTTGTTCATACGGAAAAAGTTCGTAAATTATATCGGTGTGAAGCTAGCACCATCGAGCTAGCACCATCAAACTAAGGATTTTCTGAAAACGAATTCCGGTCGATAAAACCGAGTGTATTCGATGCAGAATTTAATTCTGAGTCCAATGGT